TATCTGCTATGTGAGTGCTCTGTGACTGACGAACAAAAGAAACGATACACATTGGAGCCATACACCTATCAGAGACTATCAACTGGAGTACCTCAGTGCCGAAGTGGTGATTGTGGCCCCTTTGCTCTGAAGTACATTGAGTGTCATGCTCTTGGGATGGACTTTCCCAAAGCGCTTTGTTCTAGAAACGGGAAGTTTATGAGGGAGAAGATGGCGGTGGATATATATGAAGAGCTGAATTTGATCCATGAATGGGAAAACAAAGACAATGATAAGAACTTGGGAACGTATGACGAAGGAAGAGGTTGATGCTTTTGTGTACTATTGTCTTTGTACTTGAATCTTTTGTGTACTGTTGTATTTGAACTTGAACCTAGGATGAATCTTTTGTGACTTGTGTTTCGGATGATAATGTAAAGTAATGTTTGACTTGTGTTTTCGGATGATACTCAAAATTTTTTACGTAAGGTCGTCTGGACGACTGAATCGAAGGTCGTCTCGACGACTGAAAGTAAGGTCGTCTGGACGACTGAAGGTGAGGTCGTCTGGACGACTTACTTGAAGGTCGTCTAAAGACATAAATAAAGACATAAATAACATCCATCTTCGTCTAAAGACATAAATAAAGACATAAATAAGGACATAAATAACATCCATCTTCGTTCTAAAGACATAAATAAAAACATAAATAAGGATATAAATAACATCCATCTTTGTCTGGACGACTAAACCGAAGGTCATCTGGACGACTGAATCGAAGGTCGTCTGGACGACTTACTTGAAGGTCGTCTAAAGACATAAATAAAGACATAAATAAGGACATAAATAACATCCATCGTGGCCTGGACGACTGAATCGAAGGTCGTCTGGACGACTGAATCGAAGGTCGTCTGGACGACTTATTTGAAGGTCGTCTGGACGACTTACTCTAAGGCTAGTCAACCGGGTTCTTACATTGTGGACGCTTATGGCCCGTTTCTTTGCATCCTGAGCACCTATAAACCCTGTGTTGCTTCCGGGGTTTGTGTCCTCTCATCCTGGATAGCTCCAACCATGATTGCCATCTTGATTTCTTCCGTCTCCTTGGACCACGCTTTATTTCTGGAGGAAAGCATGTGCGTGCCTAAATTTGTTGTCCAACACAAGGATATATATTCTTTGAATATCCTGCAAACAAAGTATGCTTTGAATATACCGGAGATACAAGTGTGGAGATATGCGAACCAGCTGCTGTTCCAGCTGCTATAGCATGACAACAAGGGATTTTCTCAACTTGATAGACACCACAATCACACTTGGAAAGCTCTAGATCAACATTGCAGTCTCTATGGCCACCTTTCACAAAGAACTTCCATCCANATGCTTTGAATATACCGGAGATACAAGTGTGGAGATATGCGAACCAGCTGCTGTTCCAGCTGCTATAGCATGACAACAAGGGATTTTCTCAACTTGATAGACACCACAATCACACTTGGAAAGCTCTAGATCAACATTGCAGTCTCTATGGCCACCTTTCACAAAGAACTTCCATCCATCAATTTGTTGGACTCTCAGAATATTTGCGATCTCCTCGCGAACAGCAAGCAAGTGTTCAACACCTCGACTATGTTGAGTTGTAAGACTCAACGCATCTCCTCTCCTTTTCCAATACCATCTTCCTAGCTTCTCCCTTATGAACTCCAACAGGAACTGAATAGGAAATCCTCTTGCTCGCTTCAGTGCGGAATTAATTGATTTAGTGATATTGCTCGTTTTTAAGTTGTACCTGTCTCCGTGAAAATGAACCCTTGACTATAGGCTCACATCGGCATCCACCAGATACTCATGAAGATCCGGATTTGCACTATGTATCTCAGCCATGTACCGATCAAAGTCGTAAAGTGTATGAGCATAAGCAGCACCTTTCACCAAGTACAAAAGATGTTTCTGTTTATACTTTTTGACAATATTCTCTTGAAGGTGATAATAGCATATTCCTTGTGTTGCCCAAGGAAACACCTTCTCACATGCACTTATAATGCTTGTGTGCCTGTCAGAGACTATCACCAGAGGATGCTCAGTAGATACACAACTCGCCAAATTTGTGAAAACCCATTCCCAAGATTCATCATTTTCAGCATCTACGATCCCAAAAGCCAATGGATATATCTGAAAATTACCGTCTTGTGCGGCTGCAACCAACGTAGTACCCTCATACTTTCCACTTAGGTGAGTCCCATCCACCACAATGACCCTTCTCTGATACTTAAAACTTCTGATAGAAGCTCCAAAAGCGAGAAAAAGATACTTAAATCTTTTCTGAGAAACATATTCTATAGCAGTGATAGAACCCGGATTTGTTGCCTTGATTTGCTCCAAATATGAAGGAAGTCGCTCATACCCATCTTCCGCGGATCCTCTCACCAATGCGCATATAACAATGCTCTGTATGAAATGGTGTAATCAAGTGTCATGCCAAACATGTTCTTCATTGCATCTTTGATATGCTGTGGATTCAACCCATCAATGATTCCAACACGATCTATGAAGAGTCGACCAATGTACTTCGGAGTAGAGTGTTTGCGCCCAGCGATTCTGTCTCCGCTGGAACATGTATGAGTTTTCAAATACTTGGTTACCCAAAACGTCTTAGTCCCATGTTTCACACTTGCTCTGATCTTCCATTGACAACCACTAACCCGACATGTTGCCACAAAGAGAGTTTTTGTTGACTTGTAAACTCTGAAGGAGAATCTGTGCCTCACCGCGCTCAACCGCAACTCTGAAAGCAGTGCATCCTTGCTAGTAAAACTCTGGTTTACATAGATTCTTTCTGCAGATGATCCTTTTCCCTCACAGCCATATGCCTCTCCGTAATCTTCAAAACAAATTTCATCATCTTCTTCCTCATCCTCATATTTAACCTTTCCAAATTGACTGTAATCCTCAGGATCATAAAAATCTTCAGCGACAACAGGGATGTCAGCATCTTCCTCCCCTTCATGATCCTCAGCTACATCCCCCTCCTGGTCTTCATCCCCCACATCAGCTTCATCCCCCTCATGTTCTTCATCCCCCACATCAGCTGCATCCTCAGCTTCATCCATTTCCTCTGAAACCGTTCTCATCTTGCAAAATCTTGATACACAAAGGCGTACTTCTTGCGTTTTGGTTATCTCGAGCAAGTTTCGAACTTGTCTATCACTTGTAACATGAATAGGAGGAAGGTCTGGAGCTGGTAATGAGTAGTTAATCTCCACAGTGACTGTGCTCATGTCCAGGTTATAATCTTCTTGAGCCATTGCCACAAGTTCAGCATGTGTTGAATCTTCATTCAATAAAAACAATCTTGNTCTTGAGCCATTGCCACAAGTTCAGCATGTGTTGAATCTTCATTCAATAAAAACAATCTTGCTCCTTTGAAACGATCAACCACAAAATTCCAACAACCATCTTCCAACAACCATTCTCCATACACTGCACGTAACTGATGCATCATCTGAGATAGTAAAAATAAAACACATTAGCAAACATAGAAGAAAGAAAATGAAACTTTATTAGAGATCGAAGCAGACAACTGAAATGTAAGTCGTCCAGACGACTAAACATTCAGTCGTCTAGTCAACGCAGAGGTTATTTTTGCAATTGAAGTTGAAATCAGTTAGTTGGGACAACTGAAATATCAGTCGTCTGGATATGTTTGATAAAAAATCCAGACGACTGAAATTTCAGTCATCGAATGTTAGTTTTGCATTTGACTAGAATGTTTCAGAAGTTTGACTTTTTAGGACGACTTACATTTCACTCGTCTGAGAAAAAATTAAATATCAATATTTTATTGAAATTGGACAACTTACATTTCAGTCGTCGTAGGTTAGTTTTGCAATTGCGAAAACAAACTTCAATATTTAAAAAAATCTAGACGACTGAAATTTCAGTCGTCCCTGGGACGACTTACAATTCAGTCATCTAGGATTTACGAGGTTTGACCAGAATCTCGGAATAAAATCCTGGACGACTGAATTGTAAGTCGTCTGGCGGACGACTGAATTGTAAGTCGTCTTGAGAGTTAAAGTTTTTTTCACAATTGCAAAACTAACCTATTACTACTGATGTAAGTCATGCGTTCCAATAAAATATTGATATTTCAGTTTTTTCGCAGACGACTGAAATTTCAGTCGTCCTAGAAAGTCAAAATTCTGAAATTTTCTAGTCAGATGCAAAACTAACCTACGACGACTGAAATATCAGTCGTCTAGATTCTTAAGATATTTTTTTGTAGCCAAAATAAAGTAGACGACTTAAATTTCAGTCGTCTCTGGAAACAAATTGCAAAGTCAATTGCAAAAATAACTTATGCGTTGACTGGACGAAAGCAGACGACTGAAATATTAGTCGTCTGGACGAACAGATCGCAAAAAAAAAATCGATTTCATACCTTCAATTGGTGAAAGCACTTTCTTTGACTATATGAACCCTAGAAAATGTAGAATCAAACACTCAGGATCTCAAACGAAGGTAATCCACCCTGAATCTTTAATTTCTTTGACTATATGAACCCTAAAAAATGTAGAATCAAAATATTGGGTTTTTGTAGCTCATTGTGGAGAAGGTGAGAGATATGTGTTGTAATGTGTTGTTTAGTTCATGAGAATAGAGAAAGAATAAGGGTAAATGGAATTTGGAGGCATTAAGAGCTTCAAAATTGGTTGTTCATGGTTGTTGGAGTATTGATGACAATGGCAATCTTGTAATTACTTGAAGATGATGAGGGTGAGAGAGTAAATATGTCATTTTCGAAAAAAAAACAAATTGATGGCATTTTCGTGAATTATATGAACTTGTGGGGTGAATTGGCCAAAATAAAATTTCAAAAAAAAAAAAGATTAATTTTGTGGTTGACTTCAAGTTTCAGGTCAATTCTGCAAAAAACCATTGATTGTTTCGAAATGTTATTTTCTTATGGAAACACGCATAACAAAATGCATTTCACGATGAGTTTCGTTATTGCGTTATTTATAGAAGGTAAATAATTTATGTACTGTTCGCATGAGATATATATATACACAAGGACTTGAACCAATCAAAAACATTACTGAAAAGATAAATAATCAATCTCCAAAGCAGAGGTCCATGCATGCATAAACCAAGAGAACTAAAAAAGAAAGAAAAGAAGTTTTAACGAAGTAGCCTCCGGGCCTGAGATGGAGGTGGCTGAGCTTGCACCGGAGTGGCTTGACGGGTCGACCCTCCTCCACCACCGCCATTATTTCCCCAAGGCTTAACCGTAAACAACACAACTAAAACCACAATAATAATCAATATCAAAATGGCGTAACAAGTCCACTTACGCGTGTTCTTCTGATAGAACCGCGCCTTAACAAGCTGGTCTGCACCGGACCGGATAAGCGAGTTGGTTCGTTTGACGTTGCCTTCAATGTTGTCGAGCTGTTCGCCTTGGTGCTCAACCAAAACAGCCATGTCAAGAAACACCTGATGCAACTCGTTCAAGCTCTTCTCGATGTCTTTGACTGCGTCATGCCTCTCTTGTATCTCGTTTATTGTGTCCAAAACCCTACCACGACCTTGCTCTTGTATAGCTTTTTGCAAAAACGTTTCGCTTTCTCCTGGAAATATATGTCATTCCAATTTTTATCTCAATAATACCATGTTTATAAACATGATCAAATTAACAGGAACGAGAAAGCCAAACAGTACTGAACAAAGTTAGAAAACGCAATAACCCGAACTCTGTCTTACTACTTGGACCAAACCGGAATCTTTTGCTATTTTTTAAGAAGAAAAATCACATAAAAAGTACTGCAACTAACTTTTGTAAAAATTTTAAATATTTACTTTTTTGCTATTCATAGTTTCATTCATAATTTAGTTACTTTTATTTCTAAACCTTGAAATAAATTTATAAACTTATAAGACTCGTTTTTGAATTTAGAAGTTAAAAAAAAAAAGAAGATATTTAAAACTTATTAATATTTTGGTCTAAGAGGACTGAACCGAACCTTTTGCTATTTTTAGTATATTAAAATGAAAAAAAAAATATTAGTTGAGATATTATAGTAGGTGGTAAAACTTTTGAGTATTTAAAAGTTAAAAAAAAAAATTGAGGTATTTTTATGGATATTTTTAATTAACAAAATTTTGCTATTTTCATGCTGTTTGAAATTTGAAAAAACTAGAAAAATTAAGAAAAACAAAATAGGAGGAAATGATCACCTGTAGCAATTAGGTGATCGACGGTATCCTCGTCGGGATTTTCACCGGTGACGGTGAAGTACAACCTGTGAATGGTGTCTCTATACTCCATCGAGAGAGTCTCTCTGACTCGCATAAAATGGTCCATCGCATCTTTCAGCTTCTTCCTCAGACCGTTAACCACCACCGTCCTTTGCCGGTCAGAAGATGAACCCGGTCCACTTTCCGGTAAACTCCGGTTCACTTCATTGGCACGATCCAGCTCCTGGAGATTACCTTTCACGCGCTTCGCCGTCTTGAGCGCTTTAGACACATCGGAATCCATCTTGTCCTTCAACTCTTTCACCGCTTTAGCGTTATGGAGCGTTTTGCTCTTGTCGTGGCTCACTTGGAGGCTGTGACAGAGGCGATCAAGCTCTTTTAGATCACTGTTAACCTCCTGCACGTCGAGGAAGAATTTTTGGAGATTGTTCTCGCCGGAGTACTTAGCATTTGGCATCTCGATACTGTGAGAGTGAGGCGGCGATGAATCGTCAGCTACTGCACGTTTAAAAGAGCGGGAGAGAAGATCGTTCATGGCTGGCTGGCTGGTTTTGAAGTTTTTCCTCAATGGATGAGATGAGAACTCTTAGTTTTGAAAGTTCAAAAAGGAAAAAGATATCTTTGATCAAGATTGTGTTTGTTACTTACGAACGAATTTTATAACAGATTTATTGAGAAAAATGAGACGAAAAAGTCTAATATCAAACTCGGTTTTGAAATTGGAACTGGTGGACTTACCAAAAGAGAAAAAGAAATCTGAAGTGTTTGTAACCTATCAAGAGAGCAAACCAGAACACTTATTCAACTAAACCACTATGTTGTGTTAACCAAACCAAATATTATTCTACGCCTAGTCGGTCAAATTTCAGGAACTAGTCCAATATCACTCATTTTTTGTATTGTTTGAATCGACTAACTTATCATTGAATTGCTGAACAAAAAGAATTTCCAGGAAAGTTGACAAGGCTATGAGTGTGATGTAGTGGAATTGTAAACGAGGATTTTAGAATATGAATTTGTCTCTTTTAATATATCTTGGCTGGTTAGTCCCAGAACAATGTAGCTAATGTTGTAAAATGGATTGATTTGTCAGTGCATCCCATTTCCAACAAATACCCAAAGATAATGGATAGTCAGTAATATTATCTCCAGTCTACTTCAATTTTTATTCCTATATTATCTCCTAAAACAGAAAATCTTTATTATAGAAATTGATTTACTCCTATATATATTTATATAAAGAGTCTTTCTATATCTAGAGAAAAATATAGAAATATTATTTTCATCTCCAAATATAGAGATAAAAACTATTTTTTCCTTATATTTTTATCTAAATTAGAGGAAATATAGTATAGAAGTATACATTATAATAAATCTACCTGTATAATAGATATTTCTATTCGAGGAGAAAACTAAATGATATCCCGCGCCATGCGCGGGGTGAGTTTTTTTAAAATATGTTTATTTAAATACATATTTTGCTATCAATAATTTTTTTTTTTTTACATTTGATTAGGGATGGACACTTGGGTACCATTTGGTTCAGTTAAATTCTGTTTGGTTTAGATCTTTACGGTTTGGTTCGAAACTTTGGAGGTTTGGATAACCCATTTAATTTTTTTAAATTTAAAAATATTAAAATTCATATATACTTTAAATTTTCCATAATCTAAAATTAAAAATAATATATAACATATAAATTTTAAAAATGAATGCCAAAATACGTAAACTTAACAAAAACTGGTTTATCTTAAATATTTGGACAAAAAATCAATAAATATTACAAATATTTTTGGTATTTGGAGTATCGTTTAGCTATTTGAAAAATGTACATTTAACTATTTTATATATTTCTAAGTATTTTGGAAAATTTTAAAAATTCTCATGTATTTTTTATATTCTTAGAAGTTAAATTTAAAAATAATTAATATATTTAAGTATATAAATCTGGTTCGAGTACACTCGGATATCCGAGATATTTCGATTCAGTTTTGGTTCTTTAGATACCAATATTTTGAATCCGTTTGGATATCTAACCAATTTTGGTTAAAAATTTGTACTACTTTTTGGATTAGATTTTGTTCAGTTATCTGGATTCATTTTTTTTTCACAACCATATATTTTTTATTGTAATAAAAATTTAAACGAAAACACACTCTATTGCGCGATCCATTTTGTTAATCATTTTAATCTGTTTAAGACGCATTAGAAAAACGATTGGCTGAACTAAAGAATGTATCATTAATCACAAAATATTCAATGTGAGACTTTTACCATTTTTAATAATTTATGATCGTTTAAAAAAATTCAAATATAACATATAAGAAAAAATCTAACTTTTTAGTATATGATTAATGTGATTGTTTAATTTCTTTTAATAATATAAAATTAAATAAAAAGTAAAGAGCATAAAAATTGTTATCAAATCTCTATTATTCATAAACATTAATTGTGATATATATGTTAATCATATTAGGTAATTTGTAGTTTTTATCTAAGGAAATAATATGAAATATTCTTTTGTACACTACTAATTAAATATTTTAGTTAGTATAATAAATATATAACATATGTTTAGTTGGACCAACATATTTCTCTAAGAGTTATGAAAATCATTATCTTTGTGACAGTGGCTACAAAAAAATGTTGTAATGCTCCGATATTAATATATGGGAAATTTAAACTACTAATCAAAAATATTATATGTGAAACTTTTAAATGTTTTATTAATTTATAGTCATTTTAAAAAATCCTAAATATAACATATATCAAAAAAATCTAATTTTTTGCTATATATGTAATGTTATTGTTTAATTTATATTTCACAATATAAGTTTAACAAAAATAGTAGGGCTATAATTTTTTTTATCAAATCTTCATATTTTACTCATTCATTGTCATATATATATATATATATATATATATTATAACTATATTAGGTAATTCCGTAAATTTTATTTAAGGAAATAATGAATAGTATTAATAATAGTTTTATGTTTAGTTTAATAAAAAATATATTATATGTTTATATAGACCAAAATTTTTCTCTAGTAAATTTGAGAAGCATTCTCATGATGACACGTGACTACCAAAATATGTTGTAGTGCTTCTCAATTAATATAAAGGGGATATAGAAATATACACTTGAAAAGGTCTAACTAGACTACAAGTATTAATTAGTCGCAGGAGCAAGCTAAGACAAAGGTTTTGATTCGTAGATGTCTTTTTTTGAAATACTTGAATGTTAATAGTTTAACATATGATTTTTGTGGCATTGTAAATAATAGTTTTCTTCATTAAAGATAAACAAATAATAATAGGAAGTTTTGTATTACTATATTACTACATTGACATATGTTATGATCCAAGCTAAAAAAGTATATCACGATATGCAAATTATAACCATCTACATATCATATCATGTTTACAATAAATATGTATACTAAACTTTAAACATGTTTGTTTTGCTTCAGTTTTTTATTGTTGCTTCAATTTTGTGTTGGGCGAAAAAAAATCCATTATTAAAAAGGGAAATCTAGTAATTAATTAAAGTGAAAGAAAATGATATATATATTTATATAATCATATTAATTATATAAAACTAATGAAATTTAAATTTTTGTATGAAATACTCATAAATATAATTTAAAGATGCATTTTAAATTTATGATATTTGTTCATCTATTTTAAATTTGAGTTTTGTAATATTTGAAATATAAATAACTATGATTTAAATATAGAGAAATTGTTAGAAATACTACAAGTTAAGTATTAGTTTTCAAAATATCACCAATTAGAAAATTAACTAACATTTGATTTAGGTTTCAGTGATTATTGTTTAATTAGAACTAGCTGTTTTGTCCGCACTTGCGGGCATAATTCTATTATGAATATTTATTAGTTGAAGTTTCATTAATTTATTACTTATGTTTACAAAAAGTAAAAACAAAACATCAAATAATTATAAATGACAAAACTCAAACATTAAAAATATTTAATTATAGTATTTATAATAACTTTTCTTGATTTATATTTAAATATAGTATTATACAAATATTTTTACTTAATTCATATTTAAAAATAATTATAGAAATATATTATTTAATATCTTAATTTTAATTTTTATAATAGAAAACATATTTTTAAGATAAAAATATAATGCATAAGTTATTTATTTACTAAAAATATAATATGATAAATTGTTTTAATTATATAATAATTATATAATATTATAGAAATGATGACATATAATTATAATTACTTAAAATCATGGAGAACTTAACAAATCAGCAAATTTACCTCTTAAATAATTTTGTTGGAGTGATGCTTTATATTTAATTAATAATAAATAATTATTTTATTTTAGTTTTAGATTATATAATATAAAAATATATTTTGAAGATGACAACATAATACATAAGAATTACTTTATTTTCTATAAGTATAATATTATTAGTGTAAATTTATTTTAATTATAGAATAATTACAACTTTTTAAATTTTAATTTTAAATTTCTAATAAAAAATATATTTTCAAGACAACAACATAATACATAAGAAGTGTCTTATTTTCTAAAAGTTTGATACTATTAATATAATTTTTTTAAATATAGAATAAATTATATAAAATTATAGAAATTATGTTAATTATCAAAGTTACCTTTTTTTTTTTTGGACGTCATATCAAAGTTACCTAAAATCATGGAAAATATGACAAATCAACAAACATTAAATTCACTTCTTAAATAATAGTATAGATACTTTTTACATGTTAATTTTAAATTTTATAATAAAAAATATATTTTCAAGATAACAACATAATACATAACAATTAACTTATTTTATAAAATATCATATTATTAGTATAAATAAGTTTTAATTATATAATCAATAATAAAGTAATTGAAAGAAATTATGATAAATGATAAAAAGTTACCTAGGATCATGGAGAAGTTGACAAATCAACAAATTCACTTTCAAATAATTGTTTTGATTATTTCAATGTAATTAGTAATAATATAATTTTTATATCTTAATTTTGAGTTTTATAATAGGAAAGTATATTTTCAACATAATACATAAGAATAATTTTATTTTAGTAAAATATATAATTATTAATATAAATTCATTTTAGTTATATAATAAATATAATAATTTTATATCTTAATTTACAATTTAAGTTTTATATATAAAAATATAGTTCAAGATAACAACATAAATCACAAGAATTATCTTATTTTCTAAAAATATGTTATATTCATATAAATTCATTTTATTTATAAATAAAAAATATATAAAAATAATAATATAATAAATAAACAAAGTTACCTAAAATTAAGGAGAATTTGACAACTAAGCAAATTTACTTCTTAAATAATAGTATAGATTTAATATTAATGGATTGAGTTGAGTTTATTAATGTTCTAAAAATATTTTTTAAAATAATTTAGTGTTATTTTATCCAAAATTTTAGAATATTTATGAAAATATCATCAATTAATTATAAATTAACAATAATATTAAATTTGTGGTAAATTGAAATTTTCTTTCAAATTTGTGGATAGGACCGCCCTAGTAAAAGTAGTTTGTGGCGTCTTCATTTTCGTTACCAACGAATCTGATATTGCGTCTATTACTTACTCTACTTAGGCCAACGATAAGCCCAAATCGGCCCATTTGAATCAACCTAAATCCTCTTACCACACCGCAAAACCTCGATAGATAGATTCCGCCGACACGCGAAAGAGACAGACAAGCGATGGGAAAAGCTTCAGGAGCGAAACAGGCGACTGTAGTTGTCGCAGCTTTGGCTTTTGGATGGTTAGCAATAGAGATCGCCTTCAAGCCTTTCCTCGAAAAACTCCGCTCCTCAATCGACAAATCCGATCCGGCGAAAGATCCTGATGACACCGACGCTGACGCCTCTTTCGCCGCCGCTACAGCTGCCTCTGAGACGTCCTCCGTTTAGTGTATTTAAGGGTTTGTTAGTTTAATCTGTGCGTTCAACTTTGTACCACGACTTAAACAGTTTGTTTCTTTGAGACTTAAACAGTTTGTTATATTGCATAGTTTTATGTTTTCTACTCATTGGATGCGTCCTATAACCACTCCGTATTTGAAACTATAAAGATTGCTTTAGATGATAATCTCTAGATATGTAGCAGATTAACCATGGAAGTTAGAATGACATACATTTGCTGCAGAAGGAGACCATAACTTGTGTCAGATTGAACGACTTTTAACATCTTTCAGCACCCAAAAAAAAACTTTTATTTGTCCTAACATCGTTGTATTGAAGATAGATGTAAACATCTTGTATTCAAAATGCTATGATTTGCGTTTTGTGTTATCTTTCATCGAATCCAGCCCACATAGTGATAAAAAGACTTTCACTGTTTTTTTTTTCTTAATTGATTTTTGTTGTAAGTGTCAAAACTGTCAAATTTACAAAACTTATGATGGTAAAGGAAAGGAGACTTGAGAAGAGCAGCAGGAATGTATAAACCTCTCTGTAATCGTTGATTAAATTAGAAACGACTTAAAATAGCTGATCATTACAATGTCACTTTAAATAGTAACTTTAGAATAATCATTGTTCAGATTGGTGTATTTAGGGTAGAGTCATATGATCTCTTTAATCATTGTTTAAGCAAGAGTTTTAAATACAGGCTTAAGTGCTTTGTTTTGTTTTTATAAATTCCCCAGATTACAATCTAGTTGTCTTGTCCCCCACACAGATGCCTCAAATAGTGGTGATAAGAAATATGAGATAGACCTTTCATTCCTTTCGCTCCACTCCTTTTATATAAAGCTAAATCAAAAAGTAAATGACATAATCATAACAAGGATCTATATCAGAGAGAGACCCAAACTTTAAAAGTCTCTTTAAATCATGCTAAGTACTTAACTTATAAAACCTTTTTAGGCCACACTAAATCACTTAACAGCTCAAACTAAAAAGCTGTTAGTTGCTATTCCAAATAAACTTCAATGTCTCCGAGTTACGTTCACATATGAAGGCTGCTTTATCTGTAATTTCTCATAAAAAGATAGATAGGTTGGTTATTCATTGCATATCATAAGTTGCAATCTATATATGCTCAAGTCTAAACCATTTAGATTACTGAGGATAATCAAATGCTTTGATTTGCATCCTTTACTCTATTTTGTCCTGTCTTGCACAGGTATTTGAGATGGACCCTTATAGTACAATTATTTTGTAAACTTCAAAGAAACAGAAAAAAAGGAAAGGAGACTAAGAGAGACGACTCATCATGCAGACAAGAACCAAGAACCTACAAAGTAAATACGCAAGAAACTATATGGAGGTTTCTTAGAAATTCTCCTTTAACATTCTTTCGTTAAAAAGCCAAGTTTAACAACACAAAAAAAGCAAGTACTCGACAGCAGTTATGGAAGAAAGCCGATTCGAGACGAGCGAGTTACAAGCTTCACTCATGATGTCGACTCCTTTATGGTCCGACTCATGGAGTTTATGCAACGTTGCTGATAGCTCAAGGAGTATTCAGATACAGCACATCGCGGAAACCGTGTACGTTGCTTTCCCGGAGGTGGAGATAAATCAACTGGGGAATCTCGTGGACCTGAAAGTCGCCGGAGAAGACCTCTTCTCTGAATTTTCAACATCATTACCGTCCAATGAGCCTCCGCCTATGGTCAACTCTGCAATACGTGAGCTTTATGTTTCCTCGGCTCGTTTTGTTGAGTCTCAGGTTTGTTTTCTGTTTCTATTTCCTTCAAAAAATAATAGAAAAATACATAGAGTAATATTTTATTAGAAAGAATTCATGAACCTTTCCATTCTTAGAGCATTAAGACATACAAACTAACTAAAATTTTCAGCAAAACTATATTATTTTTGGCAAGGGACTACTATAAAGTTTTGCTAAATTTTCACCTATACTGATACGATATCCACCTAAGTTTTTCACGTGTATTAATTTAGCTAATATTAATTGTAATATAGTTAATTGTATTCATTATTTATATTCTTATAGAAAATAACAACGTACAAACTATTTAATTTAAATTTGTGTATTCAACTTATTAAAAAGACAGAACCAGTTACAGAGAGACACCAAAATTGGATTTTCAACATTTTATTTTAAAAACAATTTAAAAAAAAATTGTTATGTGAAAGAGATTTATTTGAGAGACCCTAATGCCGATGATAGCTAACTGGGCATGCTCTTGTAATATGACAGTGTAGTGACCTCGGATTTATTATATATCCAGCAATTGAGGTTATTTTGGTTTAGAAGCCACGTCTGCCCAATTTATTTCAAAACGATTAAGGGCTAATTAAAGTGTTAATACGCACCTCTGCAGAGTTTATGAGTGTGCGCTCAAAAACTTTTAATGGTTGTGTCATTGTGTCTCTTGTCAGCATCATTCTTTTCAGCGCATAGACGCATACTCTCATATTCGCATATAGTTTCTTCTTTTAAGCCATTGAATTAAAATAATACCTTTTACTAGTTTGTTCTTATAAAGATATTTTTTTAAACTAGATTATTTTATTATTGAAGAGTAGCAAATCAAAATTTGTGTACAAACAAAAGAGAGTAACAAAAGCAAAACAAGAACGGACTGTTAGTTGACTTTGATGAGAGTTTTTGTTTGTTTGGTGTTGATATTTGTTATATAAATTAGAAAATGGTAAAACTGATGTGCATGTTTCTTATACTGTTTTCATTCGATTCAGGTTTGTTTTTTATTTTAGAAAGTCTCTGGTTTAGGTAATATATAGATAATAGATGTCGATTTTTATAAGCTAAGTATAATCCGGTTCAGTTTTATACTAGTTTTGCTTGGAATCAGTTTCTGAGAATATATATTGGAGAAGATTAATAAAAAACGCTAGGGTTGATTGTATATGTATGACTTGTCAGATATGTAAAAACGAAGTCAAGTCTCTTTCATTAGTTTATCTTCATAAAAGTTGGTTATTCTGGTTCGTTTTGTATCAGTTTCTTTTGTGCACCGCTAGTCAAACCATTTAATTGGTAGATCAGTCTCTATCTAAATCGGTTTACATTAATTTAAACATTTTTTTTTGTCAACAAACGTTACAATAAAGATTGACATTTCAAAGTTTAATACGACTCAGTTAAATCATACATTGGGGTTTGTTATGGTTGATTTTTGGCCAATTTTTATTGTTTAAACTGACGTTTTCTAAGAAAACTGTTCATTTATTTTCAAAAGTTCATATTGTGTATTTGTGTGCTACATTTTATATAATAGATTATGTACTAGTTATAGTCACACTAGCTACCAATGTTTATCAACCAGTTAATTTATTGTAACATTGATTAAATCTATGAACGTAACAGATCACACAAGGACTAGAAATGGAAGATAAAAAACAAGTGGTAATAACCGGATATTCAACCGGCGGCACAGTGGCCGCACTCACCGCATTTTGGCTTCTCTCACAACCTTCACTACCGTCATTTCCCCTTCTCTGCATCACCTTCGGCTCTCCTTTGCTAGGGAACCAATCTCTCTCTTCCTCAATCTCCCGATCACATGTAGCCCAGAACTTCTGCCACGTGGTTTCCATCCACGACCTCGTTCCAAGAAGAAACGATGAACAACTTTGGCCCTTTGGAACCTATCTCTTCTGTTCTGACAACGGAGGTCTCTGCTTAGACAATGCTGATTCAGTTCGTAGGATGTTTCATATACTCAACTCATCCAAAACTCCAAACCTTGAGGAACGTCAAAGGTACGAACATTACGTATCCACACTCTCTCACCAGTTTCTCATATCAAGAAGCTTTCGTAGTGGGGACATCTCAGACAATAGTTACGAAGCTGGTGTCGCATTAGCCGTGGAATCTCTTGGATTCTCTGATGATCACCCAAGTGGTGTATCAGCCAAAGAATGCATAGAAACAGCTACAGCAATAAGTCGTGCTCCAATTTTGAGAGCGAGTGAGTTAGCTATTGAGCTTGGTACTGTCTTGCCATCGAGGCTAGAGATTCAATGGTACAAAGACAATTGCGACGCGAAGCAGCTCAGCTACTACGATAACTTCAAACAATACTCAAATCCCAAGGAGACAAGGGTGAACATGGCTCGCACAAAGCTAGCTAAGTTTTGGGACAGTGTGTATAAAATGGTGGAGATGAATGAGTTGCCTTCTGACTTTGATTTTGAATTGAAATGGTTATTTGCATCGCAGTTTTACCAGCTCTTAACCGAACCACTGGACATTTCGTACTTCTACAAGTACAAATATTCAAGGACTAGTGGTCACTACATGGAGGGTGAGAATAGACCCAAAAGGTATGTACTGTTTGATAAGTGGTGGAAAGAAAGAGGAGAGTGTCATCGAGTGAAGACTGCGAGAACTCGATATGCTAGCACTACTCAGGATACTTGCTTTTGGGCTAAGGTTGAGGAGGCAAAAGAGTGGTTGGATGATATGAGAAGCGAAGGTACCAATGCGCAGAACAGAGCTTTGTTATGGGAAAAGATTACTGGATTTGAGATGTATGCTGATACATTGGTGAAGATGAAGGATGCTTCAGCTGATGTTCTTGCGAAAAACTCGAGTTACAAAGTGTTGATGAAGACGCTGGGAGAGTTCAAAAAGGATAATGGAATTGGAGTGGTTGTTGATGAGAGTGACACAATGGAGACTTAGAAGGCTTAGTAGCAATCTAATTTATAATGATCTCTATCGAATGTTGTTCATCATGTTTATGTAGTACTTTCTGATGTATGCTACTATTCTGAAATAATCTTTAACATATTTATGTTCAATAAGTTTATGCAATTGAGTTTCTAGTGTAAGCTATTAGTCTAAACCAAGATTGAATGGTTATCTAATCTCCTGCATGTAGTATAAGGTAAGCTATTTACAGGATGACTTAAATAAATAAGTACATTGAAAAATGTTAAGACCCACATAGGATTCTTGGAGATTGCCATAAAACACATGATCCAAGAAACTATTTTCCCCATTCAGATTTTCTTTTCCAAAGTACCCATTTTCTGTGTGTAACTAATCAAACAAATCCAAGTCAAATATACACATATATAGAGACGGCCTTGTTACAAAACTTTGTGTTTTCTTGTTTCATCATGTACTCAGTTTCTATTCATATACCTTACATAACATTTTCAAACTAAGTGATATGACTCGCACAATTTCCGATCATTAACGACTTTGACCAAATTAAACTTCATCGTTCTGGCTAATTATAATATAGCATTTTTTACGATTGTAATAGAAAAATGTACACAGAGCTTTTTCTTTTTTTCTTTTGAAACACCTACAAAGAGGACCATATTGATAGAAGTATAGTTCCTTCCATTATTGTTACAACTATTTAATTTAATATAACGTTAATATAGTTTCTTTTATAATGGATATCGCATATATGTCACAATAGAAATATAGACATGTATATAATATCTATATAGAGTATATATATATATATATATATATATATATTGTATATACTAATCGTGCAGCCTCCATTAACTAAGCCGTACAAATAGCTCAATGTACACCAAATAACCCTTCTCTCCCGAGAGGTCATAGGCTTCTTAGTTCACTTCGAAACAATCTCCAAGACAATATATATTAGAATAACCACTTTCTAGTTCACATATGTTATTATTATTTAAACATATCAAAGATTCAAAACCCTTAAGCCTGTCTCCCCCAAGAAGCAACAGTGAGTGCACCCTTACGAGGCAATTGCTCCCTCACACTTCCTCCACTCTACAGCCTACACGTGTAACACCCTCTCCACATGCACAAACTCACATGCACATTCATGCATGCGTATATAATACATTCTTTTTGTGAGAGAGAGTAGAGAAGAGAGAGATATGGAGAGAACAGATGCATTGACGTCATCGTTTATATGGCGGCCAAACGCAAACGCAAACGCAGAGATAACGCCGAGCTGTCCAAGATGTGGATCATCCAACACAAAGTTCTGTTACTACAACAACTATAGCCTCACTCAACCTCGATACTTCTGCAAAGGCTGCCGCAGATATTGGACCAAAGGCGGCTCCCTCCGCAACGTGCCTGTAGGCGGTGGCTGCCGCAAATCCCGCCGTACCAAATCCTCATCCAGTAACGCTAAAACCGGCGTAACCGCTAGTTCATGCAGCTCCAGTGGTGGCTCACCAAGCATAGATCTTGCTCTTGTTTACGCCAATTTCTTGAATCCAAAGCCTGACGAACCCACACTTCAAGAAACATGCGATTTAGCCACATGCGCATCGATGGAACCCTCTTGGAGTATGGACATCGGTGATGGTCATCATCATCACTATGATCATCAGGTGGAACACATTGTGGACGGATGTGGTTATAATGGGTTGCCTCCTTTTCCTGGTGAAGAGCTTCTTTCTATTGACACTAATAGTGTTTGGTCTGATGCTTTATTGACTGGTCATAACCATGTGGAAGTTGGTGGTGTAACTCCTGCTCAGACTGTTCTTGAACCGGTTGTTCATTTTGCTGATGAATCCAATGACTCCACCAACCTCTTGTTCGGAAGTTGGAGCCCTTTTGATTTCTCAACCGATGGATGATGATCCCTATTTGCATAAAAGAGAGTTTGTATTCTATCTACATTACATAAGATATACACATTTATATGAAGATTTTATATATGATCACTTTATGTAAATTAAGAGAGTCGGTTATTTAAGTACACATTTAAGGGGTAATATTGTATACATGAGCTACAAGTTTATTATTTTGGTGGTGATTCTCGACCTAAATATGATGCTGTAATAAGTCGTTTTCAAGATTTGCTCAAGAATACCACGTGGGAGGTCCTTGTCTTTGGATTCGATTGAGATTTGCTTGTTACTTGAACTTGCAATTCACTGAAAGTGAGACGCACGTGTACCATGGGGGCACGTGTGAGAGTTTTGTGTCTCTGTCCTCTCTGTGTGTGTATAAATCTTCTCTAAAAGGGGTGTCAGAGAAAGAGCATATTTGTTCTTACTTTTCTATTATACTGTTTTATACAATTATTCAGTTCATCTTTTATTGCCAAAGACATTGCTGTTGGGTTTTATCCAAATACATCTATCCACATATAAAACAACTATTTTTAGTAAAACTAAATTTTATTCAAAAAAGAAAATTAATTAAGCAAATTATCACTTGGTATATATGTAGATGAGTATCTAGCAATTTAATTTTAGATATCTCAATGAGAAATCGTTCTTAAAGACTTTCATTCTTTTTCTAATTTTCTTTATTTTTATTGAGTAGATATTTTTGAGAAATTAGTGAAGGTGCCCGAAACAAATACCATCGATTGAAAAAATATGAATAGAGTATATTTCTGTGTTTTCTACCTCACATACATATAGAAGAATGAGTAATTGATTGCACATTTTTCAGATGTATATCATTATATATATGGATAATGAAAAACAAAAATACGAACCAATTCGTTAGTCTTGACTAGTCAAAAAAATTAGTAACCATGTAATTTGCCACAATTCATGATTTATCACGGATATTTTACTAGTGAAATTCAATTCTATATGGATTAATTTAAATATTTATAGCTCTAAACATGCAAACTCATATGAGTACGTTGGACTAACAAACCCTGATAGTCCAATTCATATTAACACCTGTTAGATAAGAGCCTAAGAGGTAGAGAACACATTCTCTCATCAAGAACAAATAAATAATTCGCCACCATGACAAAATCTGTAGCAATTTTAAGGGGATGTTTTCGGTCGCTTACTATAATTTTCTTGTAAATTTAATACGTAGCATTTCTAAACTTAAATATACATAAAATTAGATCGTGTAGACAGAAGAAGATAAATAAACAGAAAATTGGTAAACTAGAATAGAGAAAATTGGTACCCAAAGAACAAACAATGATCCTAGCGAGATGCACATTCGCTGCCCACTAACAGGCCAACAACGCTGGGATAGTGACTATCCCCAGTAACACCGCCCAAAGATGATTTATCAACCGCACTAGACTACGGCACAGCTAGTCGACTGAAGCCGGCCGTAGTCTCCACACACCCGGCCATACATAAGTCCGTGTCTATACCTGTCCCAAACAATTCTAACTAAGAATTTACATTAAGTGAAGCAATCAATGTTGAACCATCTGACACCCTAATTCCGGTTTAAGCAAAGAACCAAAATAACTAAACAAAGAGACTCCAATCAGACCCTACAAAACTTAATTCACGCAAACGGAACATATTAGAAATAATATATATGGGAATTTGGCAGTAGACCCTCACCTTAACAAATGGGAAAAGTGGTGTTTATGAACTCCAGCTGCTCAAATAGATCCCAAATCTAAAATCAGATCAAAATTCTGAATCAGAATGGCCTTCGAATTGTCAAAAACGGGTGTCTACGGAAAAGTCAACCCGCTGGTCAAAGGTCAACTTGGTCAACTTTGACCCAAGCCGGTCAACCATTGACCAGATTAAAATCGAATTGGACCAACCAGTTATCCTTAACCGGATTCGATTTAAATTGGACCATCCGGTTTACTCTAACCAAAGATCAATTAATTTAATTAAACGGTTTAACCCTAGCCGATTTTTAATTGATTTTAACTGACGGTTTACCTTAACCAAATCGTAATTAATTTAAACAGGGTCAAACCAGTCAACCAATCGACCGGGTCAACCGAGTTGACCCGCTGAGTTGACCTGGCCGAGTTGACCGAGTCACTGGCGACGGTCACCAGCGGCAAGGAGGCGACGACGCGGCGGTCCGGCGGCGACGCTGCGGTCCGGAGGTGGTCCGGCGGCGCGTGGACTACACGTGCGCGGTCGTCAAGACTTGTGGGGGCGCGTGTGGCTTCGTTCGGGCTCCGAGTGAGGCGTGGTTGGTGGCTACTGCTTCGTCTCGACGAGTAGAACACGGTGGTGGCCTTGTATGTGTGAGATTATCAACGCTTAGAGATTTATGGTCGATTACTA